GACTATGACTCTAGATAAGTGGACATTTAGTCACGAAACATGTTAATCACAACCTTCCTTTGTTTTTGCTTTTTGAAGCTAAGTTGGACAAATGCACCTGTGTTAAATCAAATGTACACCCATGGAAAAGGGAAGCAAGAGATAACAATTTATAGCTTCTCAAAAGTGCTGCAGAAACTGGCTACCTCTATTATTTGTTTTAAATGTAAATCCCTTTATTGTCCCACAATGGGGAAATTCCCTCTCTGCACTTAACCCATTGCCTCGGGATGCAGTGGGCTGCCATTGTGTGGTGCCGGGAAGCAGTGTGGGGTTAAGGGTCTTGCTCAGGGACCCATTTTATGGGACTTCTAGAAATCTGTAATGAGTGTCAAATCAGATTTTGTCTTCAGATTTTGCTTATGCAATAAAATACTATCTTTCACTGTAAATAGCAATATTTAATTAATTGGTAAAAATAATTCTGTAACTAATGTACAGGTTATAATGTTAAATAAACAACAACCCTGCATTAGAATTATAGGTGACACCGAATAAGCCAACAAAGAGTGAATAAAATACAAAAATGGAAACATGTTAATAATATAAGAGATAATAGTGCTTGATCTTACCTTATAGTTGTTGCCTCGAATCAGGACATCCCAGAGTGTGTTTTCAAACTTGCTAAGACCCATTTGAGGGCCTCCACCCAACAAGGTCTGTTTATAACAGCACAAAGAGAAAAAAAATCAAACAAAAAATGTATATCATCAAAAAACAACCACCCTAAGAAAATCTTTTTTTTTATCTCATCTACTGCAAGTAATATGCTACATAAGATTGTTGGTACTGCTAGTTATTAAAAGAAAATCCCACAATGGTTGGAAAACTACCTTGAATTTGACAAAAATAATGCCTTCCCCTAGACAAAAAGGGAAAATATTGTGACCAAACATGTTAAATTGAGGGGTTTCCACTAATTAGCATCACAGATGTTTACAATATTGTAATCATCAGTGCTGTGCTGACATGGTGTGTACCACACTCAACATGGACAAGAGGAAGTGAAGAAGAGTGCTATCTCAGCAAATTTTGTCGGATTTTGCTGGAAATTTGGATTTCTCTTCTATTAGATATTCATTTATCCTGTTTACTCACAATAGAAGTTTTCACTTAGTCTGTTTCACCTTGAAGGCCACACAATTCTCTGTGTGATGGTGTTTGTAGACCAGATATAGCTTCTTCCCATAAAAAAACCAGATTCTTTATCAAGGTTTATTTATAACATGTTACTGTTAACCAAAGTGTCTGTAATTTGTTTTGACTCTGACTACTTTCCATTGTTGTAAGTAAGGGGGAGCGAACGCAGCTCATGCAGAACAGGGCTGAATGCTGTGCCATAAGGGTTGTATGATGAACTGTTCTCTCTTTGCAAAGATCTGATAAAATAAAATTCCGACTGAGTGAAATTATCGATCTCTGTTTATTTAACTAGGGTGAATAGTTGAATACTTTTTTCCCACTACAGCAAATCAGAAAGAAAATAACAGACATACATGTTAAAGGTAAAGGCAATAAGACCATCTCCAAGCAGCTTCATGTTCTTGTGACTACATTTCAATAAATTATTCGGAAATTTAAGATTCATGGGACAGTAGCCAACCTCTCTGGGTGTGACCATGTGACAAATCAAGGACAGATAATATGAATGGTTAAAAAGAGTCCAAAAAAAAAATTCTAATGAGATTAAATGTCTATCAGTTTTGCTTTCATATTCATTTTAACAAGTTGTTAACTCAGAAACTTGTAGGAAATGATCAGGTTTGAGTATTTGTAGAATCTATAAATCATAAAACAGTGTAATTGCAGTTTAGTTTGGCGTTATTTAACAGCTTTTTTGAATTTGGACTTAAATCACTTATGAGACAATTCTCAGTGATTCTCAGTTTTGTTTTCATATTAAAACAGACCTAGAAAAGGCCTTAAAAATATCCATATTTTTCAAGTCAACACTTGTTTTTCTTAATCGCAATTAACTATGAACTTTGACAAGGCAATTCCAAGCACACAAATATCCTCAGGTCTAAACCATTTAATTGAAGCGCTGGCTGATTGCGTAGGGTATGGTCAAAAGGCTGACATAGCTTGATCTTTTGTGAAAAATGTCTGCACAGGTAGTTCATTAAATTGCTCCTAATGAAATGCATAAAAAGCCATCTCTGTTTCTGTTCAAATCATATCTGCTGAAACCCTCAAGTGTCCTTCTTATTAAATGAGCTTCTACACCATCAAGGATAAACTGTAAGCATAGAAATAATACTATTCATCAAGAAGAGTGCTTCTGTTATACAGAAACAGTCAGCATGTTTTAATTCACCAGAGGACATGCATATCATTCTTCCCGTATCGACACAAATGGAATTCCACGGGGTGAAAAGAACTGACAAGCAAATTAATCTGTAGCCTTTTCTCAAGCAGAAATGAAAGTCAGTCAGGTGGTGTCTTAGTAGATGCCCACCAGTGCCAGAACTATTGCAAGACCATAAATAAGAGAAAAAGAATGTTTAAGACAATGCAATGCTGCTGCACACTGAGGGGGAAAGGATGGCAGCAGTCGGGTGGAAGCCAGAACAGCTTTCAGTGTTTATTCATTGGAAACTGTGACACCTGGAAGCCATTCTGGGAGTTATACATCACAGCAGGCACTGACCTTTAGATACCATGCACAATTAGGCTAAGCTAATAAACACTACTGTGGATTTGGGCATTTGGACTGGAAGGCAGGTACACTGAATCAACACAAACCTAAATAGCATCAAGTTCCTGTGTGTCTCTCAGTCAGAGACAAACTGAAATTAGACGTGAAAAAGGAGTAAAAAAAGGTTAAGCTGAACATTAATGTTGCTCAATGCTTTCTTTTTTCTCTCTCTCTTTTTTTTTTTTGAGGTCTCAGTCTTGAATTGTTAAAAGCAGCATCTTCTTGAATCTCGCCTTAATCTTTGGCCTGAATAAAACTGGACCGATTACACTCACACATACAGCTGTGCTTGAAAGTTTACATACCCTCCGAGGAATTCAAATAATACCAAATTGAAAAAAAAATAAATAAATAAAAGAATACATTAAATGATATCTTAGTAATACAAAATGCTGCTTTTGATTAGATTTTTTGACTGTCCCAGACAAATTATGATAACTAGCTCATGAACAGCTCACAGCCACATCTATTTCCTGTCTGGATGTGCGATGCGAATGTAAACTAAAGTTCCGATCTTTTACTTTGACTCACAGACAAGGGGGCGATCAAATGTAGCCAAAATCACGCCATTCGCCTCTCTTCTTTCGGCACCACCGCCTTACTTCACAACTAGATCCGCCCTTCTACATAGAGATAACATGGGAATCCTTCTGTACAGCTGCGACATTGGTGTTTGGTTTGTGAACATACCTTAACAACTATGAAAACGCCACAGAAATCCAAAATTTTAAAGTTATGACAAGAAACATTAATCCAACAATACCTTAAGAGACTTGAAAAAAACAAAAAACAAACAAAAAAAAACATTCCAACTGTGAAACAAATGTGGCAAGTAATGGATAAATACTGGAGAAACAATTGCAGTAATCAGGAAGTTATGCATAGGACATCCTTGAACGTGACTGAAAAGAAATCTTCACTATCTGAGAACACGATGTGCCTCATTCATCACTACCAGAATGAATTTCAAGCTGTCATTGGCGCTGAAGTGGAAAATGCAAGGTAAGGACTAGATTATGAAAACTTTTTTTCACTGGCTCACTTCAGTCATTTTTGCTGTGATGATCTAAAAAGACAAACCAAAGTTTTTGATAATAAAAACTTTGTTTAAAAACTTGAAATTGTTAAATGAAAGTGCGTCTTTAATGTTTTCCAGGCCAAGGACCCCCAAACTGCTGGCAAGATGAAGCGAGAACCCCCCCAATTATATATATATATATTGTATAAAATAGTGTTATATCAAACTGGTCCTATAGTCACTCTATTACAGATGGAGTAATGTAATGAAAGTAATTTCGCTCTGGGATTATTAAAGTATTTCTGATTCTGATTCCTGGTTGATGGGACAGATGTTGTGAATGAAATGGTGCCCAGCTTGAAAGAGCACCTATGTGTCGCTGAATGTGTGCATTGATGACAGAAAGACATCTTCTGCCTCCATTTATCTGTTTACTACAGTGTTGAATTCTAAATAATGTGTATTTAAAGATATTTCCATAAGTGGAAAAAATTGCAGGGGGGAATATAAAAAAAAAAAAAAAAATATCAAAATCAGTAAAAACTTTCATGACCCCCATGCAGTACCTCCTTGGAGCCCTAGGGGCCGTGGACCCCCTGTTGAAGACCTCTGTGTTAGAGCATAACTGTACCTGATAAAATACAAGTTTTTTTTTACTGAATTAACTTTATTAACTTTATTGACCTACATAAGTTATAAATACCCGAGACTTGACTCTCCTTTCTCTAGATGGAGACCCTAAATGTTAAATCAGAGGGTAGTACCTAGTTACATTTACTCAGTTACATTGACTTGATTATCTTTTAGGGAAAATAAAATACTTTTAGGAGTAGTTTTAAAGCATTGTACCTTAAAAAAAAAAAAGATAAAATATCACTACAAAATTGCTTTTTATCACATTTTTGGGTTTAAAGACATTTAGCTGTTGGGGCAGCTGTAGGAGATTAAATCAACTATAGTGAGTTAACAGAAGGCAGGTTCTCAGGGCGCATTTCTTATCTAATCAGATCTCACTTATAATGTAAAATATCTGGTCACAACTTACAAAATTATCAAATATGTAGATTTTGTCCTTTTTTGTAAATGTTAAAAATGTTTACAGAGCTGTCTCACCTCTCCTTCTTTATAGTATCAGATGCTCCTCTTCCATCCTCGTTTTCAGCTTCACATGGCTTTGCTCCACTCTGCCAGTTCTACTCCACTTGAAACCAGGGGTTTCCCATTGGATAAGTAATGGCTGGGAAGGGGGAATACCTGCTGGAGGTTTTTCTAACTGGGAGTGCACTAGGTGGCTTGCACACACCAATTACTGCACCCCAAGAATACAAAACAAACTTCAACCAACGTAAGACCTTAATAATCCTCCAATGTGCTTTGGGCGGTAAGGTTTTTCATCTGGAGGATTGCTTTGGAGCATAACCCCAGAGTTCTGTGAATGTCTGCTTTGTGGGAGTTGGTTAGGTGTGGGGTACATCCTTCCAGCAGAAAGGGGGAGATTTGGGTTGGCTGACACTAGGTTTTACATCCTTAAGAAAGCTGCATATCCACTGCAGGAATGGCTGGTGAAACCATTAAGTGACACAGGCAGGTTCACAGAAGAAAGACAAAAACCTGGGTTGTACAAGAGTGGTTGTAGGAAACAACTCTGGTGGGCTTAAGGTGGTGTTGCATTCTAAAATCAACAACTTTGAAATCAGCCAGGTAAAGTCCATGTTGCTGACCTACTGTGCTTCTGTCTGTCCATAGCTCAACGGGAGACATCAAGACAACATGGGACAAAGTTGAAAGGAATAGATGTTCAGAATGTACTGATGACACATTTCTGAAAGAAATCCCTCAAAATTTAGGCAAGTAAAAGATAAGGTTGAAAAGCAAGAGATGTTTTCCTTGTTCTAATCTCTTTATTGGTGGGTTTTATTTATTAACAAAGGTTAAAAAAACAG